TTTCTGGGTAAAGATTCATAATAAAAAAGATGCAGATAGCATGAAAGAGAAAAGAAAGAACAGAACATGGAGAGAGAGAGAGAGAGAGACCGAAAGGATCCGCAACCCATTGTGCTTTAGTTTTATAAAATATAAATGTATCTGCTTTTGTGTATTTCTGTGTGTATACATGATTACATGAACTTAAAGTATCATGCTTTGTTCTTTCTCTTTTCTGTTTTCTTTTTTTTGCTTTTGATTATTCAAAAACAATAATGTAATCGAAACAGAATATATTTAGCACATAATTTATTCATCTTTGACAAAAATATTTCGCATGCAGTTAGTTATCAAATGGGTTTAATTTCACTTTTCAATCTTCAATAATATCAAATGTGTAATTTTAATTAATCTATTTTTAATTTTATAATTTTAATTTCTCAATTTTATAAAATTCATAATTTTAATTTTTTATATTAATTTATTCGTTAATTGTTAAAATTAATTTAATGACACATTAATTAATGTTTAATATTACTTAGACTAATTTGTAATTTGTAGTTTTAATTTTTATTATACATTTTCATCTTATTTTATTATGAGATAACAAATTAACAATAAAATTAATAGTAAATTTTAGTTTAAATATTATTAAATATTAATTAATATATCATTTATTTAATGTCAAATTATGACTAATATCACAATTTAACCATCAACAAATAATCATTCAATGAGAAGATTAAAATTACAAATTCGATAATATAGAGGGATTAAAACTACAATTTAGACAATTAATTTTTAACATTATTTATCTCTTTTGATAAATGCTTTGACTTCTATTTTTCAAACAAGCCTTTATGTCTTCTTCTTAAATATCTAAATCGTTTATTTTTTTCATAATTCATTATATAATTGATCTTTTAATTTATTTTAATAAATAGATATGAAATGTCTCTCTTACTTTAATTAATATAAAATTGTTCTAGATTAATTAATGATATTAAATTTAAAATTAAAGCATATAATTGTATTAAATAATAAAATATCATGACTACTATAATAATAGATAAACAAAGAAGAAGAGTATGAGAAGAGTGGTTTGAATAAACTTTTGGGTAATGAATGAAAGGAGTGAAACCAAAGAACTTTACATTGATATTGCACATGTTATGACCATACATGCCGGTGGGATGGTTGTGGAGTTAATAAGATTTTAATAAATCCATTGACAAATTATTATCGACTGGATCAACTAATGCGCCCAAATGTTAGTTGTCCATAATTAATTAAAGCTTCGCTTAAAAGTGGCAGGTTAATAATTGAGAAGAAAAAAAAGATACTTTGTTAAATAGAAATGTTATAAAACCCTATAATATTCAAAATGGTTAGCATATATTATAAGATACTAATAGAAATATTTTCCAAATTTTGGTGAATGCGTCTACGTAACCAATATCGCTATGTGTAATTTAATCTGATCGTTTTCTTTTACCCCAGAGTTTATTTATTTTTAGTTTTTTGTTCAATTACTCCATAAGTAAAGTGTCCATATTTTAAATTATTTAAACAAAAGGAGAACCGGGACAAATCTATCGTTGAAAATAGAAATTATTATCAGAAGGAATTAATGACAAAACATTGAGTGGATTTCTACATATAAAGGGTAAAATGCATTATTTCTAATAATAAAAAATAAAAAATAAAACACTGTTCTTTCCACGTATTGATGGAACTTTTCAAAGAAATCATGACAATGGATGAATTACACATAAAGCTCAAAGCATAAAGAACAGACAGAATCCTTTTTTTATTTTATTTATTTATTTTGTCATACCCAAGTTTTCCAGCTGTAGCCGAAGGGGTTTGTCGTATGAATTTTGATTGAACTTGCGTCGCACTCAATCTTAATTCTTAAATTATCAGACTAATTATTCAGAGTCAAATTTGTTCTTAAATTCGAAAAAAAAGACTTGATAATCCGTTGATCTAATTGAAACCAAATCTAAGAACAAATTAGAATGACCAAATCTATAGGTCTAACCTATTTAGTTGAAAGGTGTAAGAATAACAATGGCTAGAGTCTAGGTAGGATTTTATATTATCTGTTATCATACTTGCTATATTTAAAAATAATATCTGTAGTTCCAAATCTATATAAGTAATAATTTTTATTTTCATCCTTATATTTACTGGATATCTGAGTACCATACCTGTACTTATAACTCACATTTTATTTATTTATAAAGTAAATAAATTAATAAAGAGATAATATTTTACATAAATAAATATAATATTAATTTTGTCAAATCTTTAGCATTACAAAAATATAACATAACAATTTTTATAATTAAAATATTTAATTTTTGTAAATAAAATTTAAAAAAGATTCAACATAATAAAAATTGTAATTAAACTTTCAACATTATAATCATGTGTTAACAATATTCTTCAAGACCTGTAAAAAAATTATATAAAAATTAGTTAGACTAAAATTACAGATTAAATTATATACTATAAATGTAAAAAAAAATGTAGACATTTGACATTCTTATTTTTACAAACGCTTATTTTTTAAATTTGTATATTATTTTGGTTTATTAATATTAATAGAAACTGCATGATAAGAAAATGAATGATTAGACAATTTAAATTAATAACTAAAATCAACAATGAAAATAAAACAACTTTTATTAAATAAATAAAATTTAATTGTTTATTATCTTATTGCTTATATTTTAAGCTTCTTTGTGCAAACATAAGTATCTTCGAGATAAAATCATGAAACCTAGAATGATGAGAACTTAAAAATCTATCTCCTTGTACTAAATGCAAATTTTGAAACAACAATTAAAATTGAGATCAAAACATCCTTATAATTTTCAAAATACAATTGAAATTGGGATTTCCAAAATATCGTTAGCAATTTTTTGTAAAATTGGATAGTTGATCCCATTTGTTTTTCACCATCAAAAAATGTCAAAAGTAGTACTCGTAGACAAAACTTCTTCCAAGTAGAGCTTTATTTTAGACTTTGTGTTTCAATTATATCATTCACAAATAAGTTATAATTACTAAGAAAATTGTTAATATTTAGATTATTCAAGTTTGCTTTATTGATATTTACCCGTGACGTTGAACTTTTCACTATTCTCTTAATTTTAGGTTGATACTTTTCAAATAATGAGTAACAAACCTTTACGGAAACATGTCAAATCAAAGTTTTCATCACAAAGAAACTCATGAGATAGATGATGAAGGTGACACAAGGATATGATGAACGACAACAGCGAAAGATGGAATGCGAACTAGACAATGAACAACGACACAATGGATGGGTGAAGAAGAAAGATTGCAAGAAGAAAAAATGAGACTATATAAGATTTCAGTTATAATATCATAATACAATTTAAATAAATAAATAAATTATTATTAAGTAATTATATATATATATATATATATATATATATGTGTGTGTGTGTGTGATGGGACAGATTGGGAACCATAATATGTGTAACTGAACTAGTATCCACTAAATTTTATAGATATATACTTATCTCATATTTGTTATCATATAAACGAATATTTACTCACCTCAAATAAATATATTTTTGCGGCTACCTATAGAGTCTGGATCCATTTTATTATTCTTAAAAAAGAGTGTATAAATGATTAAAAACTCTATTGCTTTTGATAAATAATACTAATAATAATAAATAAATAAATAAACCAGAATTAGACATTAGATAACTAAGAAAATAACATAATCAAATATTATATTTTTATTTAAATGTTAAAATATAAGTAAATGAATAAGTTAATATTATTAAATGTATATTGTTTTAACTTGATCATGATATCGAATGAGTCTAAATATCCATTAAATATTCGTAAGGAAAATTTTACTATGTATAATGATCGTATCTTATTCAAGCAAACATTTTTCCCGATAAAGATACATTTAATCTCTAAAAAAAATTGTCCAGATTAATTCCAAAGTGAGAATGATAAAAATATTAAAAAAAAATAATCCCGTCACAAACCTACAGCAAAAAAATATGTCATAAAAAACTGCGAGCCTAGCAATGTAAGTGAAATTAAAGAAAAAAGAAATTAATAGGAAATCCTAAGTTAATTTTATTATACTGAATTATTAAAACTATATATTATGCGTGGATTAGTTCATATTACCTTAGTGTTGCCCTGATTCTTCCTCACAAGACAGGGCAAGTGTACGGATCTAAATTAATTCGAGGCACTAGTCCGGTTCATGAACACCTGGTACATAAATTGTAGTGTGTTGCCATGGTTTCTTTTAATTGTTACATTTACTAGAATTGCATTATTTTTCTTGAGGGGTCCATAGTGGTGTTACGTAATAGGAATAGTCAACACTTACACTGTTTGTATTTTGTACCCAGCAAGATAATTTGTAAATTGTTGAGCAGTAACCCGTGCCACTTCTCATTTGGTTCCTTCCTCCTATAACTCTTGGATCACGCTTCATTCACAATCATGGATTCTAGTCATACTAGTGTTTCCCTTCATAATTCCTACAAGAGACATCAACACTCTCAAGTCACAACCTCACATAAGACATGCTGAATACATAGTATCGACGAATCAAGAGTAAAAGACTAATTCTTTAAAAATTTGATATTTATATAACAAATCAATCTCTCTTGATAAATATTTTTTATACATATAAATCTCATAAGTGACAATCGAATTTTTGTTATATATTTCAAATATATAATTATTTGTCTCTGACAGTTGAATATTTATTTCTGATAATCTATGATTATTTATTCATTGTATAGCGTTTAGTAACCCCATTTTTCTGATTTTCCCACCTAGCGAAAATGAACCTTCCCTCACTCCAAATCCATCCAATACGTACACATACTACTTTTAAGAGAAAAAAGAGAGAAATGGAAGGAACCTTACTAGTGAGTAGTGACTATGACATATCCATGGGGCCTCCCTCTTATATTAATTCAACTCCTTTTCTTAGCTGCCACTTCATTTTCCTGTCTTGAATTCACATAATCTCTCTCGCTCTCATATTCTCCCTATCACAGTGCCACTCCTGCTGACATTTCACCTACAAGTTATATTCAGCAAGGCATCGATCAGTTAATTGGAAAGGTTCACCCCTCATTTGTTGGTGGGGGGAGAAACTACCAAAAACTACAAATGGGAAGGCACTCCTGCTGTTACAAGCAGAAACTTAGGAAGGGTCTTTGGTCACCAGAGGAGGATGAAAAACTTCTGAGGCATATAACTAAGTACGGCCACGGTTGTTGGAGCTCAGTTCCTAAGCAAGCAGGTACTCCAACACTCTACCACATCATTTAGCATAGAATCAAGGGAAGAAATTGAGATTCATTTCCTTTCAATGTCGTCTATTGGCAGGTTTGCAGAGGTGCGGCAAGAGCTGCAGGCTTAGGTGGATCAATTACTTAAGGCCTGATTTGAAGAGAGGTACATTTTCACAAGAAGAAGAAAATCTCATCATTGAACTTCATGCAGTGCTAGGGAACAGGTAAATCTTATCCTTCTTTTCATCATTAAACTCTTCCATTTTTCATCCTGGATATTTTGACATGGATATTGTTTCTTTTCTCAGATGGTCTCAAATTGCAGCACAATTGTCAGGGAGGACTGACAATGAAATAAAGAATCTGTGGAATTCTTGCCTGAAGAAGAAACTAAGGCAAAGAGGTATAGACCCTGTGACACATAAGCCACTGTCAGAGGTTGAGAATGGAGAGGGGGACAAAACAAGGAGCCAAGAGTTATCCAATGAATTGAACCTCCTGAATTCAGAGAGTTTCAAGTCAGATGAAGGGTCCTATGAGCAGAGAGCATCTTCAATTGCCCCCAAAGCCTATGAGATGGAAGGCTCTTGCAGCTCCAAGATTAGCACCAAAAACGACACCAACTTGATAGCCAATTGTCCCAACAAAGACTTGTTCCTAGACAGCTACAACACTAGTTGCCAACCCTCAGATTTGATGGGAAATTACCCTCTTCAGATCACTGACACTCTCCCAACCAATTCAAACTCTTCTCATTGGTTCAGCCCTACAACAGCAGCAAGGCCCTTTGACATGAACTCTGAATTCACTTCCAATGTCATGTCTATTCTTCCACCTTCAACCACCTCTTTCCTCCCTAGTACTACTCTTTGCTACAAGCCATCGCTTGCTGTCCCTTCAGAAGATATTTCAATTTCGGCAGCCTCTTTTGCTTTGAATGGACCCAATTACTGGGAAGCCAATGCCTCCAACAGCAGCAATGGAAGCAACACAAGGGATGGCAGCAGAGAAATGACAAGTGGCAAGAACAGTATGCTCTCTTCTTGGGGATTCACAGAAGAAGCCAAGTGGTCTGAGTACCTCCACAATCCAATGTTAATGCTGGCAGCTCCTGAATCATTGTGCAACCAAATAAGGCCAGCCACACATTTTGTACCTGATGGTAACACTTTAGGGGCCATATTATTGCCTGATTCCAAAGAGCAACAACAACAGTCCCAAACTTCTAGCATCTTCTCCAAAGACATCCAGAAGTTAACAGCAGCCTTTGGACATATATAATGTTTCTTCTTGTAAACAAAGATTAGTCCTTAATTGTGAACTTTGGGACATCCATGAACTAAAAAAAATTCATAGCAACAGGCTTTGACACAAAGAAAGATTTTAGAGGGTCTTGAAGGGGGCTTATGTTCTTAGTACAGGTGTGTGAAAGCAAAGATTATTTTTGCTCTTGTATATAAAGTCAGGTTCAGGTCTGTCACAAAAACATTTCTTTCACCATCATCTTCATTTTGGTAATATTTGATTTGTCTTTTACTTTCTCGGGTGTGGGTGGAATAGAATTGCTCTGATGTTCTTTCTTTCTATCTTTACACTGTTAACTGCATTGCAGTGGTGCATTAATTTCCATATCTATGCCATCACAGATGTTTATCAGTGCACGGGAAGTATCACTTTTCTTTTTAATGACCGGAATGGGACACACTTTTAGTTACTTTGGCAACACACAATTTACCGAATCTCTTTAAATGTTTTCATCCGTTATGATCTTCTATTCTTGATTCTTCTCTCACCGCACAACCTTTCATAGTACTCAAAATGACACGAAACTTGTGCAGGCAGAACTTTACCCTATCCAATGCACATCATTTTCTTGACAGAAGAATGAATTATATTTTATATCACTTCCATAATATTAATAGCCTAACCTAAGCCTTTAAGCAAGTTTTAATTTTACTTGAGAGAAGAATGAATTATCTTTTATTTTTCTTTACTGAGAAAGAAAGGGACATGAGCAAAGATAAACTATAGAAAAAGATACCCGAGGATAATGTTTGACAATTGCGAACGTTTTGCTTACTTTATTTGAAGACTTGGTTTGGTTGGGTTGGGTTCTCCCTGTCACAAGTCATTGACGCACGGGAAGACTAACATAACATGATCATGTGCGCGTTAAGAGGTAGAGTGGCAACAAACCAATCACTAATGAATTGAAATCAAAAGTTGATGGCTTACGGTCCGTACAATGTGACATGGACCGCTGAGTGAATGAGCACCTTATGTGTATGGACGTGCCTTTGAACACAATCGCAACATTATCTAGAACTAACCCTTTCAGAGTTCAGAAATTTTCAATTCCTACAACTTAATTCCAAACTAGTTTCACAAAACTGCTTTGTGGCTAACCACGTCCCCGCCACAGGTGCCAACATCAATAATATATCCATCCCATTGCCTCTCGTGTTCCAAGTCACCCCACACACACCCTTCATCACTTCCTCTACAAATTAATAACACTGTTAAAGATGATGTAGCCAATTTAATTTATCTTTTTTATTTATGTTATTAGAACCCAGTATTTATTTATTTTATTCTATCCGATTGATTACTTTACAATATGATTGTCTGAGACTCTGAATGTATAATACTAAGTGTATAGAATGATATAAGTATCCTAAATAAAGATATTTTTGTTTTTATATTAAAAGAGAGATTTCTTCCTTTCTTTTTTCTGTCCAACATTGAAAGATAAAAAGTACACGAACCCACTTCCTTAATGTATCCGTCGGTACTCTGCTGAAACAAATAAACAGCAAGAGATTGTAAACACAAGCTATTTTAATCTTATACTTACAAAACCCTTTTTTAGTCTAATTTTTATAAAATGTTACTACAAGATTTATTTCACTTTAATTTTTAAGATTTGTGAAAACAATAATAATAATAAGGGATTAAAGTGAAATTTTCGCAAATTCAAGACTTAAAGTAAAAGATATTTACAACCTGAGGATTTAAGTAGAGAATTACAAAATTAAAAGTTAAAACCTTGTTTTTACATTGACTTAAGTCTTAAGTTACTAGAAGGTGTGCGTGAGTGACAAGTACACCAATCCCATTTTCCTAAATTACAGAACAATTGGACAAGAATTATATAATAAGAACTATATATTCCACATGTTTGATTAGTCCATAATTTGTAGGGAGTAGAAGGCACCCAAATGGTTTCATTTGAGTGAGTTATAAGCCATCCTCAACAAATGCATAAGTACACAGTCAGGTAATATAAAAACATAACTGTACAATATATAAATAAATTGATAAATACAAACCGGATGATAAATAACATTTGAATTTACTAGTATGCTAAGCAAAGGTAATAAGTACAGGATTGCTGCAAATATGCAATCAAAACGACTTTAATCAGCATATTCAAGGTTGGACTTCATCCAAATTATAAAAACCATTTAGTTTAAAGGCAAATAAAGTAACTATAAAATATGAATGAATGCCTTGCGATCACACACTGGACTCAGATTTATGTGGTACGCATCTAATTGGTGTTGGTGAAATATTTAGTATGCGAGGTGTCATTTTATAGATGGATACATTTTTAACATTCTAAATTCTTGCATAAATAATCATTTGAAATGACAATAGTACTTGAAAGCAAACCAGAGAATAACTTGGGGGAGTTCAAATTAGAGTTAATAGGTGAACTTCCAACACAACAAAAGTACAAATCCAATTGCTAGATGTTAAAAAAAATGAACTTGACAGTTAACTATATGTACGTTTCACTTTTAGAGATGTTTACTCGATCGTTAGATAATTGATATGCATAAAGGCCAAGAATTAATCATCCAAGTACCTAAAGTTACCTTAGAACATATCACATTACACGATGTCCTACTCTTGAGTAATTCTTAGGTTGAGTTGGACCCGGCAGAAAACTTGGTACCAATATAAAAGGCACGCTGCTACTATAGTACTTGTATATAGCCTAAACAGGACAAAGACATAAGATAACTCTTTAACCTTTCAACGTATGAGAAATAATTGAAGAAAGAGAATGAAAAGAAATGGCTAAGTAATGTGTGGCTTTATCTTCTTCCAACTGTTACCGTGAATTCCATGTAGCAATTGTTCAAGTTTCGCGAACAGTGTTGGAAGCAGATAACAGTTCGCATTTCTTGATTCTTGTTTGATTTTGGGCTCATCGTGGGCTTCTTCTTGTAACAGTTATTTGATGGAAAGCCCATCTTCATATCTGGATCGGTTCCGAGGAGGCCCATATTAGATGGTGCCTCTGTGTTGAAACTATATATCAGATATAAATATATAATATAAAAATCAATAAAAACAGTCAATTTTTTTTATTAATAATGTTATTGTGCCTGAAAATATTCAAACAAGATATTACTGGTATTGTTTGTCTTGGTGAAGTAATATTATCTTTAATAATCAAAATATAATACTCAATGATAAGTAATTATGTTATCAAATTTTGAAATTCTTGAAGGTGTATAAATTTATGATAATCAAATATAAAAACTTTAACTCTAGAATAAGAATAAACAAAATATATTTTTAAATATTCTGACTTTAGACAAAAAGATTAAATTACCGTGCATTTTCCCGACTAAAACAGTTAAAATTTAAAAATTCATTTGAAATATAGAGAGAGATTGAAATTGGATCGATTTAGACTTAAGACTTGAGAGACAGAGGAATAAATCTCTCGTTAAGGGTTTAGAAAAAGAAAAGGTAAAACAACTATGATTTCAATTTGTAAGATTAGTTTTAGACAAAGAGACTAGTTTAGTTGAAAGCTCACAGTCGTTCATATTCTTATAAAATTCCAAGACTTTTCTCTAAGATGGAATTCAGACTTATTAGTTTAGTTTATTTTTAATTTTTTTTGCTTAAACTAAAGATCTTATTTTAATGAATATTTGATTAATTAACTGTTTTAAAAATTGTTCTATTTTATTAGTGTATATTTTCACTGTTTTGTGAATAATATTTTAAAAACATGGAACAAAATAAAAATAAAGTGATTTTGTTGTAATTAAAAATAATAAGAAAAAAATGAAAACAAACGACGCATTAATCTGATCTTAAGAGTTAAGATCATAACAGAATTCTGCACTTTCCTTTCACCGTCCTTAAACTTTTATAATGTTTTGGATACGAATCAAAGTTCAAAAGCCTTAAACTTGGGAATGCTTATTAATTTACGGGTGGAAATAGACACTTTCTCCGATGCTACCGGAGAATTATATTTATGGTCAGCTACCCACTTTTTTAACATTGTAAAATACTCTTATTTATATAACTAAAGTTTATAATAAATAAATATTTTTAAATATAATTATATTGTAATTTTAAAAAAAAAGATAAATAAATATTTTGAACATATAAAAATATTTAAAAATTACAATAAATAATTTATAGTATGATATAAGATTATTTTTAATTATGGATATTTTTCTTTTAAATATTATCATTTAATTTATAAATAAACATAAAAATAATAGATTGAAAAAGATAATTCGATGAAAAATTTATTAAAAATATTTTTGTTAAGGATTTTTCATACACTATTGTGAAAAATAGCTCTTAAAAAGGCTATATTCTTATTATAAAAAATAGAAAAAGGGGATTTAATTTAGGTACATTAACATTTATTTAAACTATCAATCAATATGAATTATTATATATGATGAAATTACTGGATTTTGTAATAACTATTAATTAAAAAAATACTTAATAATATTATTTTGAATTGATTAACGATGTAAATTCATTTTCAGTATATAAAAAATAAAATATACTTTTAA